TTGCAATCAGACGTGTCGCTCTGGTACAGCAGGAAGAAGTGATTCTTGTGGGCTATGGCCATACATTGTTTCATTCTATAAGCAAACACTAAATTCGCTTCATTGAGGACACGCTTGCACGAGCAGAGACAAAGAGACGTCTGTTGCAATCAGACGTGTCGCTCTGGTACAGCAGGAAGAAGTGATTCTTGTGGGCTATGGCCTTACATTGTTTTTCATTCTATAAGCAAACAATAAATTGTTTCATGTATTGCACAAGCACATTGATCTCTATAGAACAAAAAAATGGGCGTCTGTTGCAATATTCGCTCTGGTAGCAGGAAGAAGTGATTCTTGTGGGCTATGTTTTTTTCATTCTATAAGCAAACAATAAATTCCTTCATTGAGGACACGCTTGCACGAGCAGAGAAAAAAGACGTCTGTTGCAATAAGACGTGTCGCCTGGTACAGCAGGAAGAAGTGATTCTTGTGGGCTATGGCCATACATTGTTTCATTCTATAAGCAAACAATAAATTCTTCATTGAGGACACGTTTGCACGAGCAGAGAAAAGAGACGTCTGTTGCAATAAGACGTGTCGCTCTGGTACAGCAGGAAGAAGTGATTCTTGTGGGTTATGGCCATACATTGTTTCATTCTAAATTCTTATTGAGGACAAACACTGTTGCAAATTCGTCGCTTGGTACATTGAGAACACGCTTGCACGAGCAGAGAAAAAGAGACGTCTGTTGCAATCAGACGTGTCGCTCTGGTACAGCAGGAAGAAGTGATTCTTGTGGGCTATGGCCACACATTTTTCATTCTATAAGCAAACAATAAATTCGCTTCATTGAGGACACGCTTGCACGAGCAGAGAAAAAGAGTCGTCTGTTGCAATCAAGACGTGTCGCTCTGGTACAGCAGGAAGAAGTGATTCTTTGGGCTATGGCCATACATTGTTTCATTCTATAAGCAAACAATAAATTCGCTTCATTGAGGACACGCTTGCACGAGCAGAGAAAAAAGAGACGTCTGTTGCAATCAGACGTGTCGCTCTGGTACAGCAGGAAGAAGTGATTCTTGTGGGCTATGGCCATACATTGTTTCATTCTATAAGCAAACACTAAATTCGCTTCATTGAGGACACGCTTGCACGAGCAGAGAAAAAGAGTCGTCTGTTGCAATAAGACGTGTCGCTCTGGTACAGCAGGAAGAAGTGATTCTTGTGGGCTATGGCCATACATTGTTTCATTCTAGAAGCAAAACACTAAATTGCACGCAGAGATAAAGAGACGTTCATTGAGAACACTTGTGGGCTATGGCCATACGATTCTATAAGCAAACACTAAATTCGCAGAGAAAACGAGCAGACGTCTGTTGCAATCAGACGTGTCGCTTTGGTACAGCAGGAAGAAGTGATTCTTGTGGTCTATGGCCATACATTGTTTCATTCTATAAGCAAACAATAAATTCGCTTCATTGAGGACACGCTTGCACGAGCAGAGACAAAGAGACGTCTGTTGCAATCAGACGTGTCGCTCTGGTACAGCAGGAAGAAGTGATTCTTGTGGGCTATGGCCTTACATTGTTTCATTCTATAAGCAAACAATAAATTCGCTTCATTGAGGACACGCTTGCACAAGCAGAGAAAAAGAGACGTCTGTTGCAATCAGACGTGTCGCTCTGGTACAGCAGGAAGAAGTGATTCTTGTGGGCTATGGCCATACATTGTTTCATTCTATAAGCAAACAATAAATTCGCTTCATTGAGGACACGCTTGCACGAGCAGAGAAAAAGAGACGTCTGTTGCAATAAGACGTGTCGCTCTGGTACAGCAGGAAGAAGTGATTCTTGTGGGCTATGGCCATACATTTTTTCATTCTATAAGCAAACAATAAATTCGCTTCATTGAGGACACGCTTGCACGAGCAGAGACAAAGAGTCGTCTGTTGCAATAAGACGTGTCGCTCTGGTACAGCAGGAAGAAGTGATTCTTGTGGGCTATGGCCATACATTGTTTCATTCTATAAGCAAACACTAAATTCGCTTCATTGAGAACACGCTTGCATGAGCAGAGAAAAAGAGACGTCTGTTGCAATCAGACGTGTCGCTCTGGTACAGCAGGAAGAAGTGATTCTTGTGGGCTATGGCCATACTTTGTTTCATTCTATAAGCAATCACTAAATTCCTTCATTGAGGACACGCTTGAGGACACGTTGCAATGCACGAGCAGAGACAAAAAACACTACGTCTGTTGCATGCAATCAGACGTGTCGCTCTGTGATTCTTGTGGGCTATGGCCATACTTTGTTTCATTCTATAAGTCACAAATTCCGCTTCATTGCAAGAAGAAGTGTCGCTCTGGTATTTCTTGTGGGATGTATCCATACTTTGTTTCATTCTATAAGCAAGCAATAAATTCGCTTCATTGAGGAGACGCTTGCACGAGCAGAGACAAAGAGACGTCTGTTGCAATCAGACGTGTCGCTCTGGTACAGCAGGAAGAAGTGATTCTTGTGGGCTATGGCCATACATTGTTTCATTCTATAAGCAAACAATAAATTCGCTTCATTGAGGACACGCTTGCACGAGCAGAGACAAAGAGACGTCTGTTGCAATCAGACGTGTCGCTCTGGTACAGCAGGAAGAAGTGATTCTTGTGGGCTATGGCCTTACATTGTTTCATTCTATAAGCAAACAATAAATTCGCTTCATTGAGGACACGCTTGCACGAGCAGAGAAAAAGAGACGTCTGTTGCAATCAGACGTGTCGATCTGGTACAGCAGGAAGAAGTGATTCTTGTGGGCTATGGCCATACATTGTTTCATTCTATAAGCAAACACTAAATTCGCTTCATTGAGGACACGCTTGCACGAGCAGAGATAAAGAGACGTCTGTTGCAATCAGACGTGTCGCTCTGGTACAGCAGGAAGAAGTGATTCTTGTGGGCTATGGCCATACATTTTTTCATTCTATAAGCAATCACTAAATTCGCTTCATTGAGGACACGCTTGCACGAGCAGAGACAAAGAGACGTCTGTTGCAATCAGTCGTGTCGCTCTGGTACAGCAGGAAGAAGTGATTCTTGTGGGATGTGGCCATACTTTGTTTCATTCTATAAGCAAACAATAAATTCGCTTCATTGAGGAGACGCTTGCACGAGCAGAGAAAAAGAGACGTCTGTTGCAATCAGACGTGTCGCTCTGGTACAGCAGGAAGACGTGATTCTTGTGGGCTATGGCCATACTTTGTTTCATTCTATAAGCAAACACTAAATTCGCTTCATTGAGGACACGCTTGCACGAGCAGAGAAAAAGAGTCGTCTGTTGCAATAAGACGTGTCGCTCTGGTACAGCAGGAAGAAGTGATTATTGTGGGCTATGGCCATACATTGTTTCATTCTATAAGCAAACACTAAATTCGCTTCATTGAGAACACGCTTGCACGAGCAGAGAAAAAGAGACGTCTGTTGCAATCAGACGTGTCGCTCTGGTACAGCAGGAAGAAGTGATTCTTGTGGGCTATGGCCATACATTGTTTCATTCTATAAGCAAACACTAAATTCGCTTCATTGAGGACACGCTTGCACGAGCAGAGAAAAAGAGACGTCTGTTGCAATCAGACGTGTCGCTCTGGTACAGCAGGAAGAAGTGATTCTTGTGGGCTATGGCCATACATTGTTTCATTCTATAAGCAAACAATAAATTCGCTTCATTGAGGACACGCTTGCACGAGCAGAGACAAAGAGACGTCTGTTGCAATCAGACGTGTCGCTCTGGTACAGCAGGAAGAAGTGATTCTTGTTGGCTATGGCCATACATTGTTTCATTCTATAAGCAAACACTAAATTCGCTTCATTGAGGACACGCTTGCACGAGCAGAGAAAAAGAGACGTCTGTTGCAATCAGACGTGTCGCTCTGGTACAGCAGGAAGAAGTGATTCTTGTGGGCTATGGCCATACATTTTTTCATTCTATAATCAATCACTAAATTCGCTTCATTGAGGACACGCTTGCACGAGCAGAGACAAAGAGTCGTTTGTTGCAATCAGTCGTGTCGCTCTGGTACAGCAGGAAGAAGTGATTCTTGTGGGATGTGGCCATACTTTGTTTCATTCTATAAGCAAACAATAAATTCGCTTCATTGAGGAGACGCTTGCACGAGCAGAGAAAAGGAGACGTCTGTTGCAATCAGACGTGTCGCTCTGGTACAGCAGGAAGACGTGATTCTTGTGGGCTATGGCCATACTTTGTTTCATTCTATAAGCAATCACTAAATTCGCTTCATTGAGGATACGCTTGCACGAGCAGAGACAAAGAGACGTCTGTTGCAATCAGACGTGTCGCTCTGGTACAGCAGGAAGAAGTGATTCTTGTGGGCTATGGCCATACTTTGTTTCATTCTATAAGCAATCACTAAATTCGCTTCATTGAGGGTACGCTTGCACGAGCAGAGACATAGAGACGTCTGTTGCAATCAGACGTGTCGCTCTGGTACAGCAGGAAGAAGTGATTCTTGTTGGCTATGGCCATACATTGTTTCATTCTAAAAGCAAACACTAAATTTGCTTCATTGAGGACACGCTTGCACGAGCAGAGACAAAGAGACGTCTGTTGCATTCAGACGTGTCGCTCTGGTACAGCAGGAAGAAGTGATTCTTGTGGGCTATGGCCATACATTTTTTCATTCTATAAGCAAACAATAAATTCGCTTCATTGAGGACACGCTTACACGAGCAGAGACAAAGAGATGTCTGTTGCAATCAGACGTGTCACTCTGGTACAGCAGGAAGAAGTGATTCTTGTGGGTTATGGCGGCCGAGCATACAGGCGAAAGATGAACAAGGAGATGAACGCAGTTTAACTTGGTATATCCTTGCTGGATTGAAATCATCAATACTGGCTTTCACACAAGAGGTAACCTCAGACGCGCATTTTTGAACAGGATGATTAAAAACTTCTTTCCATTAATAATGTTTCTTTAAAAAAAACCAGATTATTTAAAAGAAAAAAAAATATAACAAAAAAGGAGAAATATAGACTCGTTAAAAATGAGGAGTAAATATAGAATTTTTTTAAATGATAGGTGAACCGAATTAGATAGATAGATAGATAGAATCTTTAAAAATGAGTAGCGATAAGATCTTTTTCTTCTTAGTGCCATGATCCTTTCAAGGACGTGGGTGACCATGATTCTCAACTTCCAATTCTTTTGTAGCTCTAAGCAATATTTGTCGCCTTAATATTTCTTCTAGTCCCGGTTCTGTCATCTATTTACAAAGTCTCGTTAGGTAGGTTACTCGCTGTCTCTTTCTATCCTGCTTGTCTTGAATATACCCTGTGAGTGTAACATTTTCCAAGCTTTCTTTCTTCATTATGCGCCCAGATCATTTAATCTATCTCTGACTCTAAATGTCTTTTTTGCTGTTCTTAAAACTTCATCGTTGCTCACAGGATCCTCCAGTTGTATTTCCAGCACCCTGTAGAACAACATTCCTGTTGCATCTGTACAAGTTCCATCTTAATTTGCGAGGAAACTGTTCAGTATTCCCTACTGTATTGGCATTACATAGCTGCTCAACTCTCTTTTATTTGTTTCTAATTAAAATTTCCATACATAAACATTAAGTGAATCTGCTGGTTGAACTCAGATGAAAAAGCAGACAAGAGGAAATTAATTTAAGATTTATTCCATATACGATAATTAATTTCGTGCACTATTATGCCTATATGTACGGTTATATGCACACATCCAGGCAAATACACCCGTACTTGTGCCCACATACATGCACAAACACGCAAACACATATTTTTTAATTAATATCCACTCAATTCAAGGTCTAAGAATCATTCAATGTACAGGGTTACTGTGTGGGTTTATATTAGGGTAGGTAAAAACAAGCGTTGGGAGTACAGAGCTGAAGCTGATTTTAGAAGGAACCGGAAACCCTGCACTATACAGAAAACAAGGGATAAACCTCTATTCTAGTTCAAAGGACCGGATGGAGTGTGAACTGAACGATAGGTGAACATAACTAATCCTATTAATGGAGGAGATAAAAGATAAAATGAAATAAATAGTTATTAAATAAAATTTCAGTGTTTCGGTGCCGACATTAGGAGTACAGATTTTATAAAGAACCAGAAACCCAATCCTATACAGGAAACAAGGGATAAACTTCTACTCCTGTTCAAAAGATCGAGTAGGATTGTGAACAGGAGAATAGGCGAAGCTATCTATCTACTCCTTAAACGAACCTCTTTACTGCCATATATATATATATATATATATATATATATATATATATATATATATATATACCCAAGTATATAATTGGTGTATACGGAATGAATTACAATAACCAAAATTACTATTCTTAAAAGAGTGCTCAATACAGAGTAGAGCAGATATAATTATTTATTTAAAAGATTATAACATAAATATGTTATAAAATCACTACAAAAATAGCCATGACTATTTTTTTAGTGACTTTATAACATATTTATGTTATAATTTTTAAAAATAAATAATGATATATATATATATATATTTGTTGGGTTGGTCAAAAATTTTGTTCGATTTATTAAGTAAATTTTCTACTTAATATACGGACGAACTTTTTAGCCAACACAATATATACAACTGGTGTTAGAAATGATTTTAGTTTGAATATGATCTCTTTTAGAGCGGTTTAAAGGTATTATTTGATTTGGATTGATTGAGTTATTAAAATATGTAGTTTACAAAAAAAATAAAAAATAAAATAAATAAATAAATAAATAGAAAATAAATCTGCAACCACCTGAAGGACAATGCTAATTTTGGTCTAGTCTTTTTGTAGATATAAACGCACATTAGAGAGTAGTAAATATTATAAGAAATGTAGTAACAGATATGTGATAAATGTCTATTATATATATATATATATATATATATATATATATATATATATATATAGGATTAATACAATATAAAAATTGTCACTTATTGTTGAAACTTGGATAAGCATGGAATAATAATAATACAACACAAAATGTACGTTAACAAAATGTATTGAAACAAGGAAAAGGTACACAATATTTACAGTTAGTTTTGGTATATTCTTGGGAAGACTGTTCCTGCATAATGGGTTGACTAAATCGCAGTCGGGCAGAGTCTCTGGATTCGATCTCTTCTTACAATCTCTTTTTCGTCTTCCGGTACCAACCCATATTTATATGGTTGGTACTCCACTTATGTAAATTAGGTGTATCGTACACAACACTTATCTAATTGATGTTATATTCAGTACTCCGACTCTAGAGTTTCGTAGACGAACCTTTATGTAATCATTTGGTCCACACGTCAAGAGTTAGCAGCAATTGCCCACCAATTTTCTCATTTTCATTATTTTTGCATAAAGCTAAAAAAGTTATGCGCTTTTTATTGCTATTAGTTTGATTTTTCTTCTTTCTGTGTGTGTGCGTGAGTATATGTCCGCGTGTTTGTGTGTGTGTACTCCCGTATTAATGTGTATATGCACATGTGTAGAATGTCGAGGTTATTTCTTTTTTTTTTCATAAATTTCTTATTTCCTTATGCTTTCTCATTATGCCATTTCCTTCTTTTATCTCTCGGCTGTGAATATCAATGTATATTTATATACATATACTATTAGATATTATAACAGATATAGGAGAAGATATACGATAATGTTTTCTACTTATTCAGCCATCTGATAATATTGTAACGCCCATAGCAGTACAAGCTATGTCTGAGATTTAGAAAGCTTCATATACTGCGATAAGGTTCAGTGTGATAATTGATTTTACGGTTTATCAACCCTTAGTGGGTTATTTAAAGCCAAAACATATTTTGGATTGTAAGAATAATTCCTCTTTGGCAAGTGAATATTACATTAAATATCTTTTTTTTTTTGAGAATAACAATTAATTTTTCCAGATGCAAGACCTACTTTTAGCCCATAGGTAGGGGTGGATTCAAGGGTAATTTTTACGTAAATGAATGTAACGACCCCCCCTATGGAATTCGATCTTGATTCACAGATCTCCCATTCCGAGCCACTATCCATCATGCCACCCGCACATCCCCCAGTGTGATGGACAAGCAGATGTTATGCACACGGATTTCTTTTATTCATTTATAACTGTGTATGGGGAGGGTTGGTTAGTAGGCATCTGGGAGGCTGAATGGTTGTTTAGGGGAATTATTATGCATGCCATTTTTTTTTACCAATGTTCTTCCAATACAAGGTTCAAGAGCCAACCGTTATCTATCTTACATATCATCCGAATCTACACTTACTTCCTCTGCTTACATTCAGAAACCCATTACTTTGAGTGGCCCTTGTGCCTTATATCATTTACTGTAATCAATCTACATTACTTGTACATTTAATCTTGTGTAAACTGAAACACGTTGTTGACCTTATATTTTCTGTCAGTCAATATATTGTTTTCCTAAACATTTTCATCTCTTCTTGATTTTCATTTCAGAAACAATAAAAACATTAAGGCAATTGACGATGATCCATGAAAATCAGAAACAAGAATTGAAGTGTTGCGATGTTATTGAATTATTGACTTTGAATCAGATTTCGCCACAGGAAATCCATGATAACATGCAAAATGTCTGCGATGGGGGCAGGCATACTTATATAACTGCAAAACGTTGGACTACTAAATGTCGTCGTCGTGGGAGATCTGTGAAAACAAATTGAGGTCGGGACGGCCTGGGGTAGTAAGCGTTGTTTGAAAAAAAAAAGTATTTAGATATATCCAGTAGGGGAAACAAATATTCGTACACATACAAATTTTTAATTTATTGTATTTCCGACTAATGAATAAACATATTTTTCATATAATTAACTGTACACAGATGCATAATAACTAAATAAATAGGCATAGAAAACAGAAAAAGTTGATTTAATAGAAATAAATCTCATTTATCCATTTTAATGGGTGAAAAAAGTATTCGTACAAGGAAAATTTCGGATGTTATTGCTTTAATACTCTAGATTATTCATCCGAGATTTTCCTGTAACATTTACCTTCTTTGCAGAACTTAACAATCAGTTCTTTTTGCGAATTTGTCAATTCTTACCTCTAGGCATGATGATGAACTTCTTGCATGAATATCAATTACAGAATGTTATGTTTGTATAGTTTTAGACTAAAAATAACTACTGAAATTTCCTTAAAAATCCCTTTATTTTATATATATATATATATATATATATATATATATATATTTTGGTTGGATTGATGTGAGTTTGTGACCCTGGGTTTCACGCTTTTGCGATTGTCAGAGCGCTTTCTAATAAGTACCGCGCATATAATATATAAATAATTATATATATATATATATATATATATATATATATATATATATATATATATATATATATATATATATCTTTTATATGTATATATCTTTATATGTATATATCTTTATATATATATATCTTTATATATATATATATATATATATCTCTCTCTCTATATATATATATATATTGTTTAAAATTTACTATATTTATATGGGAAAACAATTCATTACCGCAGATAATTTATAGATAGGTATAAACAGTGTAGACATATGAATCAACGTTGCAGGGTAATTGTCAGTTACTCCAAAAGAAGTAAACGTACCTATTTTTATATTTATTTCAAAGAAATTCATGATTGCTTATAACTGAGTATATTTGTGCATGTGTGCGTTTATATATACAGAGTGCGATGGATAAATTGTCTTCTAAATTACGCAGAAATGAAAGTAACACTGGCATCTCATTTTAACAGATATATTTACCAAAATTACACAAACACATCTTGAAATACTAAAGAGTAAATTTATTCAATTATCTAGACGACTTCGGAATCTTCTGCATCTCTTTTGGACGTTTTCCTTGTTTAAGTTGGTGAATGCTATCATAAATCTTGCCTTCAGTTCATCTTTGGTGTTAAAATGAGTTTTGTTGGTCTCTCGCTCAACTGCACCCCACACAAAATAATTATGGGGGTTGCAATCTGGGGAGTTAGGTGGCTTAATGCAAAGGGTGATGTGGTCGCAGAAATTGTCTGACAGCCAACACTGGGTTTTCTTGCTTGTGTGGCATGGTGCAGAGTTCTGTTGCCACACTCTTGACCCAGAACATCACTACCTCTTCAAGGCACTTGATGAAGGCCTCCGTGCTGAGTCTGAAGTCCTGTAGGAAGATGAATGGAGGCTTAACGTTGCTATTACTAGTGATCACTCCAAACATCTTAATTACCATTAGAATGCTTAGAATGTTGCTGTAACATATATCCTTGTGCTCCTGCCATTGAGATCCTTGATAAAATCCAAAGAAGACTCAGCAATATTATTGGCCCTGATCTGGCGTCACGGCTTCAGTTGCGGTGTTTACTCATTCCCCCCACAAGAATGAGATGTGACACAAGGTCGGATTAATGTGGGCACCCGAGCGCGTACACTCGGGCAGGGACAAAAATTCTCCTCAGTCCCTGCAACTGTCGGTTGCGCTGGCCTCGGTGCGAGCACCGATCCCTCCCTCTTGTGCAATGGGAGGGCGCGGCCTCGGGCAGCTCTTCCCCAGGGCCGGGCACCTCTTCAGTATAATTTTCCTCAGTTGCCCCTCTGTCCTTTGACAGAGAAGCCCCTGAGTGCACTCTGTCCAAGGACAGAGACGCAACTGAGAGATGATAAGCCTGCATTAAAATCCCTTCAAAGAGGAATTTACATGCATGGGCCATGCACGGCTTCAGTTGCTTTCCTACGGCCCTATGCCTTTTCTATAAATACTTCCATGGCAACTGTTCAGATAAGCTTTTCGCCTTACGTTTTATCGGGTGTGATTTTCGTATTTGTTATTGTCTTTGAATGAGTGTACATTTGAGTGAGTGCTTGAGATGAATGACTGTTTTATATTATTAAAGTCCTGTATTGATTTCGTCCAGTTAACTGATGTTTTTGTCCCAATTAACGATTGTGGGGTTTTTATTACTAACACTATTTAGTTTCTTGTAAATGGTTTTGTTCATTTTTGTAAATACTCATTGGGGTTAGATTTTAAATTGTTGTTTTATTCCCCTTCCCACAGACATTGATTTGTACATATAGTGACTAGATAGAACTTCATGGAGATTTTGAAATATTATGATGGATGTAATAAGAATGGTAAGTAAGAATGCGCGCTTTTGGTGTAAGGAATATTGTGGTATGTTTGGGTCAGTGTTTGTGGTTAACTAAGTTTATGGTTAAGACAGAAGAAGACCATCTTTTCCCCCTATTCCCCATTTTGGCCTTGTGCCACATTCTGTAACATACAAATAAATATTGCTCTTCGTCAGGGTACCTAGACTTTATGAATTTAAGGGCTTTACTAGACTGGTGATGAGGTCTCACCAATTTACAGTTAAGTTGGCTAGATGTAACCATAAGTTTTATGCTAGCAGTTTATTTTCTCGCATTTCTCACTTGTGGAACTCACTACCGGCTCCACGCTTCCAACATTAATCTTAAAAAAATTAAATGCAATGTCAATCACTTTCTCCTATTCTGAATATTCTTCTTTTGTACTTGCACCTTAGTAAAGATTCTGTTTTCTAATTCTTCCACATTCAGTAACCGCTTGTGCCCTAGTTACTTTACTGCATTAGTTGGGGTGAAATCGATTAAAATTTATCCTAAAGCAATATGAAAAAAAGCCAGAGATAGTATAGCAGTAAGTTAGTGTGAGAATGATTGAATCAAATATATATATATATATATATATATATATATATAATATTTAATGTGAGATTAATTGAATTATATATATATATATATATATATATATATATATATATATACACACACTTCTTTAAATTAATACAATATACGTTATGTATGTATATATATATATATATATATATATATATATATATATATATATATATATATTTAATCTGAGATTAATTGAATTATATATATATATATACACACATACACTTCTTTCAATTAATACAATATACGTTATATATAATATTTAATGTGAGATTAATTGAATTATATATATATATATATATATATATATATATATATATATATATATATATATATGAATAAAATATCTGGAAAAAACAAACAAAAATCCTTAAAAATGCGATTATGTTGTTTTAAAAATATGAATAATCAGTAAACACGACGTCTGACGATTCGACATAAAAACAAGTCTTATCCAAAACATATGTCCATACAATTAACATAATCAGTATAACATTATGTTAATTGGACATTAATGAATATTGTCCTGAAGAAAAACATAAACCAAACGTTTTCGTCGACATTTCATTCATATTAAAACAACATAATCGCATTTTAAGGATTTTTGTTTTGTTTTTTCCAGATATTTTTGCTTCATTCTGTCGGATTATATATATATATATTTATATATATATATATATATATATATATATATATATATATACATATACACTTCATTCAATTAATACAAAGCTTAAGATGATTAACAGAAGTACTTATTATAATTTTTAAACTATTAAATATAACTGAAAATCGCATTCCAGCCCTTGATTTGATATCATTCTTATATGTGCTCTCAAATGAGTCAAACAGCTGTTTGAGAAGAAAAGGAACACACGCGCGTGCACAGAGAGTTGGTTGAATCCAACGTGCTTTGAATAACTCGCCTACGAAGACCGCTAGAGAGAGAGAGAGAGAGAGAGAGAGAGAGAGAGAGAGAGAGAGAGATGGACACAAGTAAATAGGAGGAGAAAGAAGTGAAAAACTCAGATTGAACAATAAACAACATTATTTGCGAAATTATTTTCAGTCTAATATCCTCATATTTGTTTTTATTTTCACTACGTTTCGGCCGTTCTTCCTCCCGGTTTTCTTCCGATGTCTGTCCATCCGGGTAACATTCGCGGCCTAATGAGTTGGTTCGTGAATTTAGTCGCATAGTAATTGTGAGTTCAATCCCTGGGCCGTGCAGTAAAGACAAATTCACTGGAAATCGATCAAGCGATAACTGGGCAGGACGAAACGGGATATGGGATGGCGGGACGAGAACAATCAGTTCGAAAATACCTGAAGTTTACTCGGATTGATAGACACCTGAACAATGCTGGGTGGTATAACGGCCGAAACATTGTGATAACAACAAGAAATATGAGGACATTAGTACTATTGTAAATAATGTAAATAACGATAATTCCTCGTCCTAGGAATTCTGATTGAAGAACAGGAAAAATGTAGCGTTTAGACATATTTGCGTATCTATGATACACTCCTTATGTATTAACTGTACAAGTTTCTGTGGCCAAGTTGTAAGGCTCAGATAGGAATTTAACCGGAGCACTTGACATTTTGTTTTGTTTATAACAACTACACAGGGCGCATGCGAATATCTTCACCAAGTAGCGTTGTTTATTTCCTTCTGTAAGTGTTTGTATGTATATAAGGTGTAGGATTAAAAACAGTGTGGAAAAATTTCCAGTGTTTTTATTGTTATTGTTAATACTTATTAATAACTAATATACCTTTTTATTAATCATCAAAATATATTCTTTTAATGTCGATGCTCTTGCACGAACGTTTCATAAGTTTTCTCGTTCTAGGTATGACGATAAATAATTGGGAAATTGCTGTTGTTACTAGGACCACCCTGACTCGGGTACCTGTTAGGATTCCAGCTATGTGAAAATAGTGAATTCCCAAACGAAAATGAAAACACGAGGAAAGTAGAAAAATACAATTTTATAGCTTAAACACCAACAATACATTTTGCAGTGAAATGACCAACAATAAATTTTTAAAGTAAAATTGAAAACATGGTACATATTGTTAAAATATATATATATATATATATATATATATATATATATATATATATTCAAAAAAACAACAACAAAAATTTGCTATGATTAATCTCATTTCTTCATTCCTTTGTTTTTGCAAGATTACTTGGTAAAAAAAGTCCAGCTTCGTGTAATTTAATCATGAAATAATGTCTTTCTCTTGAATTATAAAGTTCAAATTTTTATATTTAGATTTCGGAATTAAATAACCCATAGAGGTGTTGATATGCCGCTAAACAAAAAGAACAAAACCATTCATAAGTTTTAAATTTTCATCTTGATGAAAGACAGTCAGTGAAACTTTGAACATCGAAGATATTTTTCAATTTATGACTTGTTAATTTTAACGACTCCAAAACGAAACTTCTCTCTATCAACCATCTGAGAGACCCCTTTCTAACTGGCATCAATATGGCTGATGCCTACTTCCAGGAGAGTGATTCATTGCGCCTTCTTGGGCTAACATTATCTGTTGACATGAAGTGGAAAGATTATATTGAATCATTTGCAGTTAAGGAAGTTGTGTCGTGTTAGACAATCTTACTCTCCAGGAACTATCTTACATATCTATAAGTCTACCATTTGTCCATGCGCTGGCTATTGCTGCCACATATGGTTCGGTGCTCCTGCTATGTATTTAGAGATTCTTGATAAAATACAAAGAAGAAACTGTAATGTTATTGGTTTAGAATCTCGGATTCAGTCACTTTCCCATCGCCGTAACGTAGCTTTCTTGTGCCTTTTCTATAACTACTTTCATGGTAATTGTACAGATGAGTTTTGCTCTATGGTACCTAGACTTTATGAATTTAAGCGCAGTACTAGATTGGCAAAAAGATCTTATCGTGTTAAAGTTGAATTGGCTAGATGCAAGTTCTATGCAAAAATTTTGTTTTCTCGACTTCTTGTGGAACTCTCTTCCGGCTCCATGCTTTCCAACTTTGATCTTCAAAAGGTTAAATGCAATGTCAATTGTTATCTACTGTCTTCTTGATTATTATTCTTTTATTGTTCTCGCTCCTTAATAAGGTTTCTCTATTTTCTTATTCTTTCACACTCAGTAACCCATTTTGTTTGCATGGGGTAAAATGATTAAAAATAAATAAATAAGACACTCCGCATTGCTCAAAATAATTGATAATCTCAAAGCATCATCCCTGGTTAATATGCCGCTTAAGAAGGAATTTCTCATCTTACCTCCAATGTGTTTATTTTAGTCGACAAAATAATGTGTAAACGACCGTTATCATACGAAGACATGGCTTTCTGTCTTCCTGTGCTGTTTTTTTTCACTGCATTTCCCAAACTTTTAAAATAACAGTTGTAACATCGGGCCTCAACATTATATAATACAGTACACTTTCATATACCATCAAATATAGAATATTAATGTTTTATCAAAAAGGTTAGTTTTTTGCTACAGGTTTTCATGATTTTTGACACTTCGGGAACCCACGTTCATCTCCAAGGACAATCTACCGACAAAACGTTTTTTCCCTGTTTGACAAGAAGTGAAATGCAGTTGGTGAGATGCTGTCCAATGTTTTTCTCTGAAAATCCAAGTGGAATCAATTTTCGTGCATAAAATGGGAAATGTTCATAAAATAATTCCCATGTTTTGCAAACGTCTTACAAACTGTTGAGTGATCAACAGTAACTTTTCAGATAATTCCAACGTTACATCAAATACTTACCCCTAAATGAACTTTCAATTCTTTACTTCAACAAAACATAGCTTCCAACCGAGCCATCTCCATTGGTTTCATCAATTATCTTCTTCATTTCTGCTGCTATATTGCTCGTCTTGAAAACGAACAACATGCAATGTCGTACGTGTATCTTGTCCGCCGCCATTTTTCTTTCTTTTTTATTTCCAACACAAGATAAACATTAACAATGCATACAGAACACGGAAGATCAGTTTTCAATTCAGTTTTCATAATCTAGTTTTCTATAAAAAAAAGTTCACTGCAAACTTTTGCACATGCGTGACGGAAATCCGAAGGCGCATTGGAAGAGCAAAATATGCCTTCCAAAATCAAAAAAATGTATTAAGAAACAGGAAAATCTCGTTAGAAAAAAAAAAGAAAGAAAAGAATGATGATCCATCCTCTTATATAGCAGTGAATGCCGGACAATATCGCTACAAAAAAGAGAAGAGAAAACTGGAAGCAAGAAAAATGTAGTTCTACAGAAGGATACTGAGAACACTATAGAATAATCAACGAGGAACAGAAAGAAAATGGCAATAAAAAGAACACTTACCCAAAATGGGAAAGAGGTTGCTGAAACTTCTTGGATACATAATAAGGAATGGCAGCTTGCAAAAGCCTCACAGGATATATCGATGGCAAAAAAGATAGATGAAGGCAGCGGGTCACCTACCTAACGAGCTTGTGTGAATGATATGGAACGGGTGGCGGACAGGAGGCTTGGCAAAAAAAAACGCTACTAAGGGTTTGGATGTTGTGGAGAGCTATGATCGCTTATGTCCTGAAGGGACACAGAGAAAGAAAAAGAAAAAGAAGAAAGAGAAAAAAACAAAATACAATAAATCTAAAGTTGGATCTCTGCTTTTCAATTGTTTTTTGTTAGAATTAAATGAGTGTTAATGAGCTTAATCCAGATTGTGAGTGAGAAAAGCCATTTGTACTTCATTTTCACTTCTGAGTACATAATTAGATTCAACATCTCTCTCTCTCTCTCTCTCTCTCATATATATATATGTACGTGTATATATATATATATATATATATATATATATATATATATATATATATATATATAAAAGACAATAAGAAAAATGTATTATTAGCCGACGCGTTTCATTCAATGTAGACTTTTCAAGGCAAAAACGAAATGAATTCATTAAAGACAAAGTAGCTATTAACAACAAACAAAATGTCCTTAACAGCTAGAAGAATTTAGAAAAACATGTCAATTGAAAATTACATCAAGTACTATCACGTGTAGAAATATTATTTTTATTGTTGAGTTGACGGATTCAACCATTTTCTTTTGATTCCCTGATACAGTTGTGTACGTTAGCTTGGGAGAGTAGTAATACTGTTAGGAAAGGTGATATTGGAAAAAAGCCTGGGCGTAGATTAATATTTGGATAATATTCAATGGTGGCACTCTCGAGGATTTTCATTCTGAGTAAGTTATTTTCTTTTTTTTATGAGTGTAGCATTTTTAAAATAAAAAATGTGATTGAATTTATTTCTATTTTTGATTAATGCATTAGTGAAGTTGTTTTTTGTGAGGTCTTTTTTGTTTTGTGTTCATAGTTGCGTTTTTTTAAGATTTCTGCTTGTTTCTCCAATATATTGGGAAGAACAGTTTTGGCAATTTATTTTATAAATTCCTGCTTCAGAAATATTATTGCTAATAGTTTGAGGATATGAGTATATCCATAATGGTTTTGGAAGTGTTTGTAATTATTTTAAGATTATTTAGATAGTTTTTTTCTGGATATTGGACGTGACGGAGTTGGTCGTTAGTATTATACATCTGTTTTCATGTAATTTATTATTACAGATTATGTTATATTTTTTTGTTTCGGTTGCATATTTTGTATGCATTTCTTCTTGCGTTGTGGATGAAATGTATGGGTATTGTAGGTTTTTGAACGTGGTTTCTATGTATGTTTCTTCTTTAGGTAAATATTGGGGACTGCAGATTCTTAATGCTCTCAGATAGAAACCTATAATAATTCTAGATGTAATTTTAGAAGAGTGGTTTCAGTAGAAACTGATCAGGTCATTTTTATTTGTAGCCTTTCTTTAAACTTCAAAAATTGAGTTCGTTATTGTTTCTGTGTATCATGATATCTAGGAAGAGATTAAGTTTTCCTATTGTCTTTTACCGTTATACATATTGGCTTTTTCTACTCTGACAAATTTTTCATATATATATATATATATATATATATATATATATATGATTTGTATATTTCTTTTATTATGTATATAAGTGTTATATTTGAAATACTTTAAAAGGCGTTTCTTCATACACATGAAATAACATTTTATTGACTAATTACCCATTAACAGTCTGCGCAATTTTTAAAAATGAAAAGCGTGAAAAAACTACAGAACAGGGAAGCGTCAAAGGGAAACAAACCATTTTGAAAATTGCACAGACTGTTAATGTGCAAAAGAGGCAGGCTGAATTAGGGCATAAACATGCAAAAACATATTGATAGCGTATTTTGTATATTCATGACCTATTTTATATATATATATATAGCGTGTGCAGTGTGCAGTGTGCAGTGTGCATAAGTAAGGTGAGAAAACATAACGTTTTCTTTTAAGCAATCTCTGTCACTGAGCCAAAAATAATAATTTTTTTACGCCGTTGTAACACTATATTCATCCACGCTTTATTATTTTCTCTTTCTTTCCCTCCTTTCTAACTTTCTTTCTTTCTCTCTTTCTGAGAAAATGGAGAAAAGTTATCGGCCCGATTTACATCCTAAAATCTGACCAAGTGATTAAGCATCAATTTTTTTTGACGGAAAACTTAACACCCATCTCGTATATGCCAAAATACTAGCAAAGTTAAACAGTAAAACCAATCTTATGATTCCCGAAATAATACTCATACAAAAACGACCATCTTATAAGTAAAAAAACAATTATAATTTAAGAGCATGAATCCTTAAATATAACACACACACACACACACACACACACACACACACACACACACACACACACACACACACACTTTCGACAACGCCACAACACTCTTTGCCCACGTCTCTACACTCACCAGTTCTACGAAACTCACCATTTGTTTCTACCTATCCTGATAATGACTTAAGAAAGTTGAAAGCTTGAACCATATTTCTCCCGAAATTAACTTTGGACAATTTCCAAGGTACAAAATAATCCTTCTCAGATAGGGAAGGAATTCCGTCAGAAATTGTCCAAAGTTAATTTCAGAAGAAATATGGTTCAAGCTTTCAACTTTCTTAAGTCATCATCAGGATAGGTAGAAACAAATGGTGAGTTTCGTAGAACTGTTGAGTGCAGTGACGTGGGCAATGTGTGTTGTGGCGTAGGCGATGTGAGACCTCCGAGTGTGTGTGTGTTTATTTTTATGTAAATGAATGGCAGAACAGGGTTTAGGAGAGATAGCAAAAAGACAAAATTTACTAAGAACTACCAAGGACAGGAAATTGTGGATAGCTATGATCGCCAACGTGCTGAAGGAGCATAGCACATAGCAGAAGAAGGAGACTGATTTAAGACAAATGATACAATTCAAGTCAATAGCATTGTTCTAGATTGGGACCAGAAGAACAAACTTAGTCAATCTGTTTAGTTTTCAGTTTCAACAAATAGTGTAGGGTCGAAATCCCTCTTCGTATAGTGCCGTTCACGCCAATTGATTGCTTTTTATCAATCATTGTTTTCTTCTTTTACAGTACTTTTGTATATCCAGAAATGTCCAGAAATTTTCTGTTAGTAGTATAAACTAGTAACAGAAAATTTCTGGACATTTTTTTTCAACAAGTATGTATCTGATTGTATCATTCTTATTTTTCTGTATATTTTCTGATATCAATATAATGATCCTTTGACATATTTAACATATACACGTTAATTTTAATCTGTACAAGCATAAATAGATATCGTTTATTTGACAGAAGTATTTCGTTGACTTTCATTTTTATCACTGAAACCGCTGGTAAACATTTTAGGCTTTACAATTTCTTTTCTATCTCTAAAAGGCTTTATTTTTTTTCAGTCAGTGCTAAATCAATCTCATAGGCTGCCTCGATCACTGTCATCCTTTCAAATAATCTTTTAACAAATGTATTTTTTGTCTTTTGCTTATTTTCTTAATCATACATTTTTCGATTCTTTGATTCAAGAATTAATTTCAGTTTTTCCTTTTATTTTAGTCATATGGGCTTTATAATGTTTATTAAGATCATAAATATTATTATATTTATAATGTGAAAAAATTGCCCGAAGTATTTGCTATAAATAAAAACAATACAATTGCACAAAATGCTTCCTTTAAATAATAAAAACAAACAAACAATATAGTTGCTTTGAGGACTTTCTATAAATAACAACTTTTTCAATTGTTCATTGAATTCATTTTTAACAATCATTTTCTGCTTTCATCTTTCTCATTTTCTTTGTTTTTGGGATGAATTAAAGAATTTAAAAAAAAAATCGGATGTCTAACACTTAACTTGAAAAACAGTCACAGTTAGGTCAACCACATCAATAGAAACAGAG